GTCACAAATTATTTCGAGTTTACAAATTAAAAATTTTATATGTCACAATTTAATTCATTGGTCACGGATCAAAAAATTATAGAACAAATTTTATCGATATGTCACATATTTCCAAATTTCTTGGTCACAAATTATAGAAATTTAAGGTCATGGATCAATAATGAGACAATGAACCAAAATGTTGGTCACATATACCAAACACCCACCCCCGTCCCGATCATCCACCAATATTTGGTCACAAATCAACCAAATAATTGGTCATAGATACTATCCCACCCCCACTCTCGCCACAACACCACCCAAACCACCACCGTCGCCCCCGTCACAACACCACCACAACCACCGCCAAAATAACAACAAAAAAAACCACAACCGTCGCCGCTTGCACCACAACACCAAAAGCAGAAATATGCTTCCAGCAGTAATAAGGTATTTTGAGAAATATGTTTCCTGAAATCAGTTAGCAAATGATGAACTTGGAATTTCCAGCCTGTAACTTCGAATAGAGTTCCATCGGTAGCTCGTCTCCACTTGCGATACAAATCAGTACCGAAATCAGATGGAAACAGAAAGATAAAAGCAGCCCAGACACTGAAAATTGCCCACATTGCCACTGAGAATCCATTTTGCTAATAAAACCCACAAGGATATCTTGTTGGCACCCTCATGTTATAAAATAAGTGGTTCGTAGCCTTAATTCTCATCCATCATACCCACAGAAATTCTGTAATAAAGAGGGCAAGTATTAAACTTAGAGGTGTAGTTTAGATTCAATAACAAGACATGAATTTATAAATATACAAGGGTACAGAAAAACAAAAATCAATCAACATTGAAATAGATTTCTTTTGCTGATATTTTTCCTTTAACCAGTTTAAATGGTAACAAATAAATTCAACCTTTATTAGCAGTATTAGGTTCCCTTAGAACTTCGAAGAACTTCAATAATTCTACCAAAATTATTGAACAGGGGAAACTGCAGCCTGTAGGGAAATAGATAGATATATAGAGAGAAATTATTGAACAGAGCAACATAAATTTTTTTTCCACAGAGAGAGAGAGAGAGAGAGAGGGCATGATCAAGAACATAAAGTGAAACCTGTAAACAAATATCACAAATCGTGTTTCCCTTTTCGTTGCACCATCTCTGTATGCAGTCTCTGTGTGCAAACTGGAAAGACAGAAACCAAAAATAAGTAATTAAGTTCCAAAAAAAGCAAGAGAAGTTATGAAGAATTGATGAAATTTGCATATATACCTTGACAGTTCCAGAACAAGCACAGGGAGCTTCCAAACTATTGGAGGTTTCAAATTCTTGTTCATGGCAGATTCTGCATACTAAATAAATGCAAAGTGATATGACTTCTCAACATCCATGATTAAAGATTAATTCTACTTTTGCTGTTGCACAACTCGCATATCTATGATACATTGGCAATTCAACTGTGCATAAACTAACATTCAATTAGAACTGAGAAGAACATGCTAAAAACAAGGGAAACCTAAATCTAAAAATTAATAAAATATATATAGATCCCACACGTTTATGAGCAAAAGACCAACGAGCCTTGTCAGTATATCATCAATCAATTAATGAGAGTAAAATAAAAAACTACCCCAAAATTCATGTGTACAAATCACTCTACATAGTGTGCGTGACTTCGCTATCACTAGATGGAGAATGCTGGGTGCTGGACATTCACAGAAAATGCGATCGAAATTTATCTTCTTATAAATATTTATTCATACAAAAACAGCCGAAAGCGAATAAAAAATGCAGCAGTGATTTGCACGAATAAGCGCCGCTACTTCGTGTTTGTGCACAACGCCGCCGGACGAGGCTGCACCGTCTCGTGGAGGTTGACTGCCGACGGAGAGCGAGGAGATCGGAGAGTGAAGAAGAGAGAAGGTAGAGAGAGTGAGAAGAGAGATAAGAGAGAAGGAGGATGAAAATTAAAATGAAATTGATTAGGGTTTGAGATTAAAATTGTACAATTAATATTTAATAGGTAAAATAAAATGTCTGATTTTTGAAAAGTTAAATATTTAATTTGATTTTTGAAATTGAATATTTAAAAATCT